GGGCCCACGGGGGGCGGGCCCACGGGGGGCGGGGCCCACGGGGGGCGGGGCCCGGGCTCACCTTGACGGCGATGACATGCCCCGTCTTTCGGAAGCGCATCTTCCACACCTGGCCGCAGGTGCCGCTGCCCATCTCGCCTAGGTTCTCCAAGTCGTTGATTTCCGCCTGGTAGCGCTGGGAGGAGAGCGAGGGCTGAGGGCTGTAGGGTCCCCAGGGCCTCCGCCTGCACGCCCGGAACGAAACTAGCCCGGCTGTGTGCCCTGCCATATGCCCTGCCCGCCCCTCCACGGGGGTTGCCGAGCGAGGGTGGTACCTGGCCCCCGATGGTCAGGTAGCCCGTCTGCTTCATGATCTCCTGCAGCTTCTGGTCAATCTCGATGCTAGGGGAACAGGGAGCAGGTGCCGGTGGAGGAGGGTCCTGACCACCCAACGGGGTTCACACAGATTTAACCACCCTCCTCCTGGGGCCACACAGCAGTGCTCCCCACACTGCCCTCCTGAGTGCCCTATGGCCAGCTGGCCCAGCCCAGCTTGATCGCTCACCTCTCCATGCTGCGGGGCGTGAACAGGGTTGACGGAAGCCCCAGCATGTGGCGGGGCCGGGCGGGGGGCGTGGGGTGCTGAGGGGAGCTCTCCGAAGATGGCGAACGGATGCCCCCATCATTGGCCAGCGGGAGCGGCAGGGCTGGGGGGGTGAGAACCAGGGGTGGGGAGGGGTTAGTGCCCAGCTGGCCTCAGCTCCAGGTCTGGCACTGTGAGGGGACTCGGGACTCTCATCTTCCCCTCCCTGGTATCCCTCAGCTAGGCTGGCACAGCCCCCTGCCCTGCTAGGCGGGAGGGAGCTGGGTTCTCCCTCCCCACCCTCTGGAGAGTTCTCAGGGTGCCTCCTCCACCCCCCTGACCTGGAAGGAGCTGGAGTGGGAGGGGTAGTCCCCAGAGGCTGAGGGCTCATCCCCAAGTCTATGCTGACAGAGAAAAAAGGGGGACCCGTGGGGGTCCCTTGGCCCTGTGGCCTCCCTAGTATGTCCCTTCCCTCCCCACCTCTGCCCAGGAAACAGGCCTAGGGCCTCAGTGCCCACACACTCTGGACCACACCAGCACGGAATGCCTGCCAGGATCAGCCTGGGCTCTGGCTCTGCTGGCAACACTGAACTTGGCAGCCAACCAAGAGGGAGAGAGACCACCCTGGGAGGACAGCAGATGTGGGACCAAGTCTTCTGGCTGCTCCAGGGTCAGGGAGGGTCACCCCTCTCTGGCCAGCAGGTTGATCTGTAAGCCTCCCTGCATGGCCTGCACAGCTGGGGCCAACCAGGGTGGGGGCAGGGGCAGAACACCAGGCTGGGCCCATCTTCTTTAGGTGAGGGGATCCAGGTGGCAAAGCCCCTCCAAGGGCTGGCATAACTGGGCTGGGGGGGAGCGGGTGCTGGGCCAGGCAGGGGGTTTTGGTTTTTCCCAGCAGCCTGCATGCGGACAGCTCGGGCATGCTACAGGCAGGCGGCAGGCAGCGGGCAGGCAGCGGACACCCCAGGACGGGCAGGAGGCATTAGGGGGTGGGAGGGCAGGAGACAGACAGACAGGAACCAAGACTCAGGGCCTAGCTGCCCAGAGCAGGCGCTGCAGAGACAGGCCAGAGAGGGGCCTGGGACAGGAGAGCAGGTGCCCCGAGGAGCTAGGGATCTCCCTGGCTGGGCTGGCAAGGGGTTGAGGAGCAGAGGCCAGTGTGGCCCTGGGAGCTGATCCTCCACTGACCGGACACTCCAGCAGCCTGGTGCCCAGAAAGGGCAATGGTTTGCTCACTCTACACACACCCTCCCAGGCTCCCCTTCCCATGGGGCCCAAGGGCCTGCCACTCTCCACAGCCCTCAGTGGACACCCCCTTCCCTCTCTCTACACTTCCTGCCTTGCCCACCTTTCTTCCCACAGTTCTGCAGGCTCCTGATGACTTGGGCTCAGTGACCAATGAGGAGAGACATACACGCGTGAGTTGCTGGCAGCAGGGCCCTGTCCTTGCCCTGTTGGCCTGGGAGCCTAAGCTCAGCCAGCAAGAGAGGGGAGGTATAGGACACTGACGTGCAGTCTGAGAAGGGCGCAGGTCCCACCAAGGCCTGGCAGGAGCAAAGGAAGGGCTCTGGGGACTCAAGGACATGGCTGAGCCCAGTGCTCATGACCACCCTGGAGGCCCCACCTCCTGCTGCTCCTGACTACCTCCCCTGCTTTGTACCATCCCTGTGCCGCCTCTGCCCTGCCCATGGCCAGAATCACAGTCCTGATCCCTTCCTAGCTCCTGAGGGTCCCTGACCCCCTGCACCTGGACTCTCCTAAGATACTGCCTGGTTCTCCCTCCTAGGAGAAAGGGTCCCCTTTCTGCCCTGCACCATCAGCTCTCTGGGGGTGAGGACCACACCTCAACCTCTCCACACCTTGAGGAGCCCTATCAGTCCTCTCCCTCGAACAGTCCACCAGGCCCTCTGGGGGTTGCCCCAGAATCTGAGGAAAGAGCTGCTGGCCCCACAAATGGTGGAGATTTGAAGGGGACTGGTGGGGGGAGAGGGAGGGAGATACACAAAGGCCCTGAGAACGGAGGTCACAGAGGTGGTAATGGGGCCACAAGGCAGGTCTGGAGGGTGGAATTGAGAGCAAGATGGTTGGTGAGAGAGAGAGAATGAATGAGGGAGTGAGAGCAAGAGAACGCGTGAGGTACACGCTGACCGTCAGGAGCCATGGATGCCAGCCCACCGAGCATGCACACACACACAGGCATGGCACAAACCCTACACACATGCAGATGGGGACAGAGCCATCCCCTTCACCAACCATCTGACACACACACACACAGACACACACACACACACAGACACACACACACTCACAGGCTGTACACACACAAAGGGCTAACCTAAACACACTTACACACAACCACCCACAGGGCCAGCCCCCCCACCGCCCCCTGCCCCAGTCTCTCTCCCAACACACGCATGGGGCACAGCACGCCCAGGAACCAGCAAGGCCCAACTGCCCCACACATCTGCTCCCAAACACGCAGCCACCTGCGCACAGGGCCTCTGTCCCCTCCCACCTCCTCCAGAGGCTTCCCCTGACCGGCCCCCTGCAGAGCTTCTCACCAGGCTGGAATGTTCTCCCTGGCTGGGAATGTGCTCACTTGCCACCAGCAGCCCCCCGACTGCAGCCTCAGTGCTGCAAGGGGATGGCTGTCTGTTCTGCTCATTGCTGTGTCTCTGATGCCCAGACAGGCACAGCACGCAGTTGGGGGTTGGAGGGACACACATTCACCCAATTGTTGAGACAGATCAAATAGGCACCATCCATGGGCCTGGCCCAGCTCTCGCTCTCTCTCTCTCTCTCTCTCTCACTTATAAACACACACATGCACATGTGCGCACACACTTGCCCACTGGGCAGGCAACCAGCTCCCACTCAGTGGGGGAGCCTGCTTCCTCCTCTAAGGAGTCCAAACCCAGGCCCAAGAGGAAGGGAGGAGAAGGAGGTGAGAGGGCGCAGAGGAGGCTAGGGCTGGGCGGGACACTGCTCGTGTGGAGTGACAGAAAATGAGAGTGACAGAAGGAGACAGGAACATGGGAACACACAGAGAATGGGGGTATGGGGGATGGCATTCTGCGGCCGGGGCAGCGGTTAGGTCAATGGTGCAGATGTCCAAGCAGCGATGATAAAAAGGCTGGTACCTGCTCGTTGGGACGGGGCAGGAGCAGGGCTTAGAGTGATCACAATAACTGGATGGGGAGAAGGAAGAAAAAAACAACACCACGATAAATCACAACAGAAACGACCAATTTGTCCAAAAGAAAAGAAATCAAATCATAACAGAAGTGGGGGGGAGGCGCGAGGCACCAAACTGCAGAGATGGGTAGAAACCAACAGAGATGGGAGGATGGGGAGGATGGGATGGAGCGGACAAAGACACAGACACCTGGAGGGGGCTCCTCAGGGGCCTGCCCGCCATGGGCCTCTCCGGGCCTTGCTCTGAACTGGGGACAACCCTGTGTCATTCATGCTGGGGCCTCAGAGGGAAGCCCTGCAAAGCCCAGCAGTGACCCTCCATGTCTTGGCTGGGCTTCCTGACCCAGGCAGTGCCCAACACCATCACCTCCGCCCTGGGGCTTTCTCTGGATCCCCAAGAGACTCCCCAGGGAGGAATGCATGCTGACCCAGGTCAAAAGAAGGAGGGATGGGGTGGGGGGTGTCAGGCTATGAAGGTCAGGCAGGGTGACCAGGGAGTGGATGGAGTACCCAGATACGGAGGGGTGGCTTCCACCTCCTGTCAGGATGACCCCACAGGGAGCCATATAAATCACAAGGGTCATATCAGTGGGGATATTAAAAGTGGGCATCTTGCCAGGTCAAGAGAGACAGAGAAAGGGTCATGGGCGGGGGGGTATTGTTCACAAGGTCTGTGGGGAAGGGGAAAATCAGATTCTTTCCAGCAGAGAGGATTTAGGGATGGGGTTCTATGGGACGCAATGGGGCGGCTACATGTGGTCATGGTGATACTATGCCAGGTGTGTGTGGAGAGGGGTTGGGGGAGCTGTTGATTCAGGGTGACAAGATGTCAGGGAGGTAGGCACTGAGATGGTGGGATCGATCAGAAAGAAGTTGCAAGTGTGCTGGAGGGGCCCACTTATAGTCACGTTGGCCTTCAGTGTCCCTAGGTCTGGTGGGTGTGGGGAGAAGGGGAACAGTCACTTGAGCCCAAGTGACAAAGGCACCAGGCTGGGAGTTGAGTGTGCATTTCTGACACACTCGCCAAGATGGTGGTACTGACTGACACTAGTCACAGGGGTATGGGGGGGTCTGCTGAGCTCAATGACAAGGTCATCCCAGGCTGGGGAGAAGAAACCACCAGACAAGGCCACAGAAAGAGCGAGTGGGAGAATCTTCAGGTCAGAGATGGGAGGGTTATATGAGGTCAAGTGACCTTAGGTGTCCCCAGGCCAGGTGCGAGCGAGTGAGTGTGAGTGGATCATCCGCTGAACCCGGACAAGTTCCCAGGCCGTGGGGGGCGGGAGGGATACTTGACAGTAAACCTTGATGGCGGGAATAAAATCTTCGGGTCTAAAGGGATGTCTCTTTGCGGGGGACCTGGACGTGGTCACGGTCGCGTGGAGTGGAGGCACCCGGCTCAGGGCAAGTGACAGAGGCTCCGAGAATTACGGCGATGGGAACAGGTGACAAGGTGGGGGCCTCACCTGGAGCCGGGTAATTAGGCTCCCAGGCCCCGACGGTGGGAGCCCCCAGGCCGGGGGAGGGCCTCCCGGAGCCCTCCGGCCCCACGCCCCCCCGGGTCACCGTGACTCTCCCCGCGAGCCGACAGCGGCGGGGCGGAGAAGAGGAGGAGTGCGAGAGCCCCGGAAGAGGGGGCGGGGCGGGGCGGTGGGGGCGGGGCCTCCCTCGTATAACTTCGTATAATGTATGCTATACGAAGTTATTACGGGCCTGGGCCGCTGGGGGCTGATATCCAGGTTGAGGTCGATCCTCCGCCGGGCCTCGCGGTTCTCCTGCTTCAGCTTTGCTTCCAGGCGGGACAGCTTCTGCTCCAGGGAGGACGCCGCCATCTTCCCCGCCGCCGCCGCGCACCGCCCGGCCGCCCGTCAGTCCGGCAGACAAACACCGCACTGCGCTTGCGTCCAGATGACCCCGCCGAGCCGCCGTCTCGCCCTACACGGCGCATGCCCCCGGCGCGCACCCGCCCTTCCCGCGTGCGAACTTCTGCGCGTGCGTGTTTCGTCCCGACCTGAGGGATGACGCCATCTAGAGTTCGCGTCTGGCAACGGACAAACCGCCTCCCCCATCACTACCGTGGTGCGCATGCGCGAATTCCCGACAGCACAGGACACGGGCGCTGGGTGGAAACACCGCTCTTCAGAGCGCGGTGGGCGGGGAAAGCGATGCGCATGCGTACGGAGAGGGCGAGGGAGACGCGGTCACGCGCGTGGCTCCTGCCGCGCACGCGCATCCCTGGAACCTCTTTAACCTGCCGCGGTCACCCGTGGTCTCCACCGCGGTGCGTCCTCGGCCTCCCCCTTCTTCTTTCCGGCCTGGTCCTCTCTGGCAGCTTCGCCCTCGTACAACTGCCTGTCTCGCCTCGGACACTGTTTCATTAGGATCCCTGTTATGCTTAATTGCTGCCCGGCCTCCCGCTGGCAGCGAGCGCGGTGCCGCCTCTTCACCATAATTAGGCACCCGTGGGGATCCCTTTCCATTTCAGCCTGTCCCAGCAAGCTCAGGGTGGCCGAGGCCAGGCGGGAGGGGAGGGTCCAGCGTCCTCACCCCTGACTCCGGCGACGAGAGCAAGGTCAAGGCCAGCGTCCCTGGCCAGACCCCCGAGGGACCTTAAGACGCCTCGACCCCCAATCTGTCTCGCCCCTGGCACGTGAGCCCAGCTCCCGGACATGCCGAATTCCTATCTGACGGTCCCTGGGGTTAGGCTGCTCTGCCCGGCGCCCTGACAGCCTTTGCAGCTCCTTTAATTGAGTTGGAGGGTGTTGGGAAAATGTCCCCATCTGGAACCCTGGGTACCCCCGCCCCCAGAGCAGCCTGCCCCTGCTCTTAGGTGCCAGAGACACCCAGGAGGTGGCCAAGCCCAGGAAGTCACGTGTTCTGCCCGCTCTGGGTCTAACTTGAGAACACTTTGGGATGGGTGTCAGGGCGTGTGCTTATGGGTGGAGCAGACATAAAAGTTTGGAGTTAAGAAGATAAAAAGAGAGAAGGGTGGAAGAAAAGGGATTATCCAGAAAAGGCTGGGCAGAAGATGCCACCTACATTCTCCTTAGCTGAGGTCTTTCTACCTTTTCCTCTTCTGGGCTGCCTTCTGTGCCAGTGCTCCCACGAAAAAAGACAACCTTGATTATGCATACGGGTGTCACCACTTGGCTCCGTGAAATACAAGGCTTAGACAATGACAGGAATGGACATAAGAGATCAGACTTATAGTTCTAATAATTAGTATTATTTATTAAGCACCTACTGATGAACGCTCCCTCACAAAGGGAACATTCAAAAGACAGTTTCTGCCTGTCCTCAGAAAAATGTAGCCTTCACAGCAGGTGTTCTTAACCCGGAGTCCGCCAACCTTAGGAAGTTCATGAACAGTCCTGCGGGGGATCTCTCAATTGCCTGAAGTTGTCTGCAGAGTTTTGTCTGTGTACATGACTATTTTCCTGGGGAAGGACGTGTTCAGCTTTCTTCAGATTCTCAGAGTCTAGGGCTAAAAAAATTTTTTTTTTTTTTTTTTTTTTTTGGCCGCTGGCCAGTACAGGATCCGAACCCTTGACCTTTGTGTTATAACACCATGCTCTAACCAACCATGGATACTTATTCTTTAGGTCAGCGTTTCCCAACATGCAGTCTTAGGACCACCTGCAATCAGAATTACCTGGGATGCTTATTTATGAGCAGGTTCCTGGCCTCTACCCAAACCTTCTGAGTCAGTCTTTCAGGGGTGGGGCTGGGGATGTTTTGTTTTGTGCTAGCTTCCCAGTTGATTTTGTTGCACTGCTAAATATGAGAACCATTGTTCTGCGTTCACATGTCCTTAGTAAACAATTTATAAATAAGGGATTAGCATCAGAGTTAGGGTAAGGGGGTGGGGAGCTGGTCCTTGTGTCTGTGTCCCCTCCTTGGGAGAGAACCCCAGACATAAGCTGCTTTGTTGGGGCAGGGGGAGAGGGTTGGAAATCCCATTGGGATGTGCCCCCATCCCATATGTGGCACTAATTGAGCTGCAATGTCCAGGGGGGTGGTAGCAGTTCTGGTGTAGGGCTGGATGCAAGCCAGCCAGCCAAAGAGACAGGTGTGGTTTTGGTCTGAGAATCCTATGACTGAGTTAATCCCTCCAAATGGGGTTCCACCCCAAATCCACAACCTCCTGTCTCTCCCTAGACAAACCAGTCCCAGGATCTTGTCTGGGCCCCACCAGGCTGACATGTTGGCCCCTCCTCTCCTGGCCTGGGCCTACTTGGTCACCTCCCTTGGAAGACAATAGTGGAGATTCTGGAGCAGAAGCATCCACAGGCCTCTACCTCCACCTGCCCAACCCTGGCTTCACTCCTCCTCCATCTTCTCTCGCACCTCTGCTGGCAGGCCCTCATAAAGGGTGTCCTCCACCAGCAAACCCGCCTTCTTGAGCCCTGCACAGTGGCCAAGTTCTTCTGGCAGAGCCTCCAACCGGTTGCCGCTGAGCTCCAGGCGGCTGAGGGCTCTGAGGGCCCCCACGTGTGGCGAGAGCTGGCTCAGGTGGTTAAAGCCCAGAAGCAATGTCCGTAGCTTGCGGCAGAAGAAGAGCTCATCCGGCAGGGCCTCGAGGGCATTGTAGGAGACAGCTAGGTGCTGCAGGTTCTGCAAGAGGCCCACTTCTGGTGGCAGGGAGTGCAGCCCATTGTGGGACACATCTAGCAGACGGAGGCTGGAGCACAGGCCGAGCTGGGTGGGCAGGGTTTCGAGTTTGTTGTGGCTGAGGTAGAGCTGTTCAAGGCTCCTGAGCTTCCGCACGTGCTCGGGGACATAGGCAATCTGGTTGTGCCAAAGCCTAAGTGTGACCAGCTTTCGACAGTGCTGGAAGCTGAGGATCTCCTCGATGGACCGCAGGTGGTTGTCCTTGAGGTCAAGTTCCTGCAACGCCCCCAGGCTGAAGATGGCATGGGGGATGCGCTCCAGCCCACAGGCCACCAGCTCCAGCTCCCGCAATGCCACCAGCTTCTTGAGGCTGTTGAGGGCGAGCAAGCGGGCCCCATCATTGTGCAGGCTGAGACGCTGCAGATGCCCCGCCACATCAGTCACACTGGCTGGCACCTTCCCGGCATTGCTCCGTAGGGACAGCACCTTGAGCTGCTTCAGCTCCCGGAGGCTCTCGAGGGTGGCCGCCCGAGCCAGTTCTGGGAGGAAGAGCCCCTCCAGGTGCAACTCCTCCAGGCCACGAAGCCCGAACACCCAGAGGGGCACCTCTCGGAGCTCCTCACATTTGATGCGGATCACCTTCAGGCGGTCCCGTAGGAAGATCTGTGAGGAGAAGGGCAGCCTGGCCGGTGAGTGAAGCAAACTGAGCTCCTGCAAGTGCACCAGCTGTGACAGCCCTGGGGGGAAGGTGATATCCCCGATAGCCTCCAGCCGGAGCGCCTCCACCTCGCTGAGCTCGAAGACAGTGTCGGGCAGTCCAGGGAGCATGCAGAGGGCCAGCTCCAGCCGGCCCCGTGCGTTGCGCTGTAGCTTCTGCCGAAGCTTCTCGGGCGTCCACTCGTGGTTGAGGTTGAGCTGCTTCAGGCGGCTTTCGCTGACCTCGGAGAGGAAGACAGCAAAGCGCTTGGAGTAGAGAGAGTCATATTGGTCGATGAGGTGCAGCATGAAGGCAAAGTCATTCTTGACATCTGGGATGTCCCCCATGCCCGTCTCCTCCCGCACAGAACGGAAGGAGTATTCTTTAAGGGGCCGGTGGAAGAGCCAGTAGAGCGTGTAGAGGCAGGTGATCCCATAGACGCACACAAAGGAGATGTAGCAGAAGGCCAGCTTCGAGAAGAGGTGGGCCTTGGTGTGGTTGCAGCAGAAGCTGGCATAGCCGGTGACCTCGGAGGTCTCCACCCTGCAGGCCACCAGGAAGCTGATCTTCTCCACATAGACGAGGTTGTAGACCAGGATGGCAAGGAACTTGCATGCTTTGAGCACCGTCTGCCGGATGTACATCGTGTAGAGGATGTCACCCTCTTCCACATGCACACGGAACTTTTTGACCTTCTCAAACAAGGCTTTGGCCTGCTCACCCTCTTTCTTGTCTAGGAGCGTGACAGCCGGTGGCTCAGTCACCACCTTCTCAGGCTCCACCAGCACTTTCTCCTTCTCCTCCTCATCTGCCTTCCCCAGCCCGGCCCCTGCAGAGGCCACCATGGTGGCCATGGCCCGTCCAGCAGCCGGGCCCTTATGGTTCTCCCCAGAGACCTCGGACAGGGCCCGTGTGGTCCACGGCGAATCAAAACACTTGCCCAGGATGGAGATGAAGTGTTCGATCTTGGAGCTGGTGCCAGGGAACTTGAACCAGAAGCTGGTGCAGACCATGAAGATGAGTGTGTGAATGACAACCAGGTAGGGGAAGTACTTGGCGTACCAGTGGAGGGCCGTCTCGTAGCAGAGCTGGTTAATGAAGTTGTACTGCTGCAGGTCCAGATTGTTCTTGAGTCCGCTCACCTCCCGGAGGCCCCCCATCTGCTCCGAGACCCCCTGTGGCAGCAGTTGCTGGCACGGGGCCTCTGATGAGTTCTCCTGGGGTTCATGACTGGGCAGACAGATGATCTTGTCTTGGGTCACCTGATGATGGGGGGAGGGTGAAAGAAAGCGAGGGGGGCTGAGGATGCCTCAGGAGTTGGGGTAAGAGATGCAAGCTAAAGGCAGCTGACCCCAATCCCCAACTGTCGCCAGCTGGCTGTGACTCTGGAAGAGTTACTAAACCTCTCAGCTTCGCTCTTCATCTGAAAGAAATTGTGGGGTTGAATTGTGTACCCCCAAAAGATGTTGAAGTCCTAACCCCCAATACCTGTGAATGTGACCTTATTTGGAAATAAGGTCTTTGCAGATGTAATCAAGTTAAGATGAGGCATTAAGATGGGCCAAAATAAAATAAAATAAAAAGGGAAATGTGGACGCACACCCACACATGATTCAGGTGACGGTTCAGGGAGAGCACCATCTACAAGCCAAGGAATGCCTGGGGCTACGAGAATCCAGGAGAAGCGCATGGAACAGATTCTCTCTTACTGGCCTCACCCTGTCGATGACACCTTGATCTTGGACTTCTGGCCTCCAGAACTGTGAGACAATAAATTTCTGATGTTGAGGCCACTGAGTCTGGGCTACTTTGTTCCAGCAACCCTAGTAAATTCATACAGTAACTGCAGTCCCTTCTAGATTCCAGGGATAAAACAGTATTTTAAAAGTATGGAATGCGCAGCAATGCAGGGGACGCTGGTGCTGCTGCTGAGGGTGGTGGAGGAGCAAGGGGTCAGAATCGGTCCTGAGTGGGGCTCTGGATTTGGCTTCCTCTCTCCCCTTTCTTGGGTAACAGGAAGGCATCAGGTTTCTCCAGGTGATGACCCCACCCCTCCATGGCCCCACCCCTAGCTGGCCCCACCCCCTAGCTGGCCCCACCCCTCACCTGGAGGGTGCAGCCAAAGACCCCAATCATGAGCATGGCCACCGTCAGGTACTCGGCCAGCACGTCCCACCAGGGCTTGAGCACCTTGAAGGCGGGCTGCTGTTCCGTGAACTGCTTGAACTCAGCCACCGGGATCATCCTGCCTAAAAGAGGTGGGGGAACAGAGACCATCACTAAGGGACATCTGGTGGTGGGTCACCAGAAGAGGTGAACGCAGCCCTGTGCTCCCAGAACCCACCCAAGAGCTGTGCGTCACCCCTCCCCTCTTAGCCTGGCCATTTCCCACTCCCAGACCCTACCTCCTTCCCAGAACCAAGCAGCTCCCTGCACCTGTACCCCTATTTGACTGTCCTCTCACAGCTCTGTGCAGCCCACAGAGCCACTGTTCCCCAGCCTCCCCGTGCGGCCTTCTCGCAGAACCCAGGCATACCCCTCCCATCCTCGACACCGAGGCTCAAAACACCCACTCTGTTTTTCCCTTGCTCCAGACACGAAGTGCCTGGGCTGCCAGCCTTGGCTTTCACCGTCACCAGATCAGAGAGTGTCCCAAGGCTCAGGACTTCCGGGGCGTGGGTCCCCCACCCCCTCCAGGGACACTCCAGGCACCACCTCCAACCTCCAACTGGAAAAGCCGGCTGGAGCCTGGCTCTTGTTACCAGGGCCCCAGGGGCGGAGAGTGGCCAAGATGAAGGTTAGTCAGCCCTGGGGGTAAGGGGGCCTGGGACACCTGAGTTTCTAAAGGGCTACAGCCCGGAATGTGAGGTAGAAACCAGAGACCTGGGCTCTGAGAGGGAGGGAGTCGGGGGTGTGTCCAGATGGCCGAGTGGCGGAGGATCTGCAAATGTCAAGCTCTCAGGGTGACACCTACGACAGGGCTGGGCTGGCAGGCTCCTGCGTGGCCAGCCCACTCTGTCTGTCCTTGGGTTTCCTTCTAGACCAAGGTATCATTATTGTAGATACAGGCGGGCCAGACCCAAGTCACACGGGGGCGTGGAGCTCAAGCTGGGACATCACCCTCCAAGGCAGGCAGCCCCTTCCCCAAGGCTGGAGGGAGAACGAAATGGTGGGGCCCCTCGGCCAGTACCCAGGCTCCCCCAGTCCAAACACCCTGTCTTCTTATGCAGGTTCCTGGGAGACTCCTGTACTCATTCTGATAACCTGTCACTGGGTGCAGGCTGGCCAGGAAGGGAGGCATCTGGGCCACCAGCTGGTTCTCTCTGGCCTCCCACCCATTTCCCGGGGACGAATCTCAGGAAACCTTGGCCCCCTGTCCCACACCTCAGCCAACTGCTCTAACACTTCCATGCCTCCCTTTTCCATCCGTATGTCCCCCAAAGGCTTTGGGGTGACTCCTGAGTGAGGACATGGTGGGGGAGAGGGTTGTATTATAGGATGCAGGCTCCACCCACCAGGCTGAAGGCTGGGCAGTCTGCACCCGCCACACCCCTCAGTCCCCCCAGAGGCTCCCACCACTGTCTGCGGGATCTGCATGCTTGTGCCTGTTCACATGGGGACTCTCCTCACAAGCCTGATATGTCATGGGCCCTTGACTCAGTCCCTGATTCACCCAGAACCAAGGACATCCAAGGGGTGTCCAGAGCACAGGATCCCTCACACGATGACCCATCCCTCACGGTTACTTACACTCCCTGTCCTAAGCAAAAAGCAAAGAGTGAAAATATCCCAGCCTGTGTCACCAGAATTTAATCTAATAGGAACATGCCCAGGGCAGCTCAACAGCCCCCAAGGGATGAATGTACATGGCAGTTACCAAAAGGGACACCTAGGGGCATTTTTGGAGCATGCATACTTGTGCATAGAGGGTTGCAAGTGCAAACACACACGCTGAGCTGAGACCTCAAACCAGGGAGCCATAAGACCGTCTTTCAGTTCCTGCCACCCACTGTGGCCTTGAAGGACCCTTCCAAGGACGCTGCTCAGGAGCTGTGGCAGAGACCAACTTCCTGTCCTTGCTACCCTTCAGGACCCATCTTGGGGTGGTGTAAGCTCTGCCACCCCCTGTCCGGGGTGCACAGTCACAGGTAAGAAAGCAGAAACACTCAGGGTCCCACAAGGACCGCCCAGTGGCTCCCAGGGAACAAGGTGTATGCATAGACATCACCAAGAGACAGACTCGGGGGTTGTCATTAACTTTCTCCATGACTCACACTTGACGGTCCTGACCCTGCCATTAAATTTCCGCAGACGCATGGCTGACCCCCTGTGTCAGAGCAGAGATGGTGGGAGGGCCTAGGAAGAGGGGCTCACAGAATTGGGGGAGGGGTAGAGAAACATCACAACGGTGACCACACTCAACTATGTCACTGGATTCCCTCAATGCCTCATTTTATCCCAACTCTGGGAGCGTGGGTGTCGGAACCCTTGTCCTCCAGACTCAGGGGAGAGAAATGACTTACTTAAGGTTTCACTGTTACAAGTGCTGTTCAAGGTCTGGCCCATCAGACCCCCATGGTCTGTCTGTCTGATCGCACCCACTCTGTTCCATGTGGGGAGAAACTTCTCACTGAGATGCAGCATCTTTGCCAGTAGAGCCTGAGAGCTGTGTTCCTGCCGGCCAGGCTGGGGGGTCTTGTCAGCCTAGGCGCCACCCATCCAAGTCTCACCCTGCTTCACTTTAGACCCTCCTCAAGCCACTTAGTCTCCAAAAGTAGGGAGGGCCAGTTCCTGCCATGGGGTTAGCACTGGAGGGTGCCTCCGCCCAGCCCCCTCCCCAGCCACAGCCCATGCGAAGCAGCCAGGAAGAAACAGCCAACAGTTCTCAGCCCTGAGAGGGGCCTGGAGAGCACAAGGTCCAACCTCTGCGTTTTACACCAGGGGGAAACTGAGGTCTAGGGTGGAGAAGTGTCGCCCCTTCATAGCAGACCTTGGCTCCGTGGACTCCCAGCCTAGTACTTTTCCAAGCTGCCCCTGCCAGGACTTGAGGGTCTGGGGAGTCTTGAAGTTCAGGAGCCCCAGCCAGCAGGCTGGTGGAGACCCCCAAATGGCAGGGTTTGGGGGCTTTGAGGGGCTCTCAGGGGTGAGTTGTCACTGCTTTCTCAGCCCTCGGAGAAGAGAGTCAAGGAGGTCAAGACCCTCAAGGTTGACCCTGCCTGTGGATCATTCCAGTCGCTTAGCCAGGCCTGCCTTGCTCCCAGGACAAGCGCCCCTTGGGCCAGGCGTGGGTTTGCGCCGTCCCCGTTCCCACCCGCACCCCGCCCCGTCTCCAGCCCCGCAGCTCCTGGTGTGCCCCGGGGGCCCGCCGAGGCCACAGTGCCAGCCGCACCTGGG